GTAGCATGCATTGCGCATTGTAGTTCTTTGGTTATATGAATTCCCTTGAGTGTGGCGACTATTTTGCTACTGTAGGTTTAACTGGGCTTTGGACAATGTCATGGGCTCAGCTCTCCACTTTATTCTCAAATAACAGTACTCAGATAAGCCCCTAACTCTTTAGCTATTAAACTAAGAGCTTAAGGATGCTAAACAAGCTTCTTTATTGGTTGTCATTTGGCGAATTGGAGAACGAGACCCTTCGAGATGTCTCTAAATGCAAACCCAGCATAATTACTTAAAGCTTAGCTGTAATGCCGCATTTTGTTTTAAAAGTAATTTGTAGCACAATGTTAAGGTTCAAGAAGAACATCTAAAGTGCATTCAACGCCATTAATTGAGAAGCTTTTGAAAGATACTAACTTGACAATGACGTTGTAAAATGTACTCGTTTTGCCTTCCGATATTCTATTAAAATACCACAGATATATGTACAATTCTTCTGAGTCGGGTGACAAAGATGCGGTTCCTAAAACAGCTTCTTATATGTATCGTTCTCGTTAGGTCAAATTGATCGGCTGAGAGTGCAGTAGCTTAGCCTGCGGGTGGCACTACTTAGCGTGTTCTTTGGAGCTCAAGATTCGCAATGGGGCCTCCTCGCAAAAAAGATTTTGTTAACAAGGGGAAACATTCCCTCAACCCTGGTACCATGAAAGATTCTCATATTGGCATGATGTAGATCGGGGAAAGCAGGAAAAGGGCTCCACCATGCGAACGAAAAGCACGATTAGGCGTCTAAATATGTATCGGAACTTTAAAGCTAAGCGGTAAGTTGACATGGTTACTAATCCAACTCAAGTGATAAAAAGGGTCACATAGTTCGTGCCGCGCCATTCCAGTCTACCGTGGCGTCGGGGTCAGTTTCTCGTGTTGAACCAAATCGTCGTTGGTTTGGTAAATCCGGTGTTCATCATTTTATGAGATTAAGGTAACACAAGAGTGATTTCACAGGATTCCTTGCAAGCATTCAAAGAAGCGATGAAGATTAGGAACCCCTATGAAATCATGCTACGCCAAACGCGACTTCCTATCTCGTTATTAGATGAGAAGAAAATGGTATGTGTGGGTTTATTTCTGAAAAAAAATTTAGAGGAAGAAACCAGACATTCTGGCCGCCGAAAGTTTTGCATATGTCTTCGGTAAAAAGGCTAGGCGCAAGCGGCCCCGTCTTAATTGTGATGATCTTGATGTGAGTCTTCTGCTCGTCATTTGTTTTCAAATGACTTGTTTGAAACACCCTCCTTTTCGTTTAAAGTCTCTGGTTCGCGAAGCAGAAGCGAATCGTAAAAGCTACCTCAAGGAGAAAGATGGTAGCCTCCAGCATGACAACAATGGAGTACGTGATCTGGTCAGTGACCCTCATTTCAAAGCGGGAAGCTCCAAACGCCTCTGGAACGAACTCTTCAAGGTTATCGATTCTTCTGACGTAGTTCTTTACGTGCTTGACGCTCGCGATCCTATGGGCACTCGATCGAGATACATAGAGCAGTACATGAAGAAGGAGAAACCCAATAAACACCTTATTTTTGTGATTAACAAGGTAGATCTCGTACCTGTTTGGATTACGGTAAGTATATTCTTTTCTTGCTCTACTTTCGCTCTATTTAGAAACGTTGGAAAACCATACTCTCTGCAGAGTATC